TCACAGACTTTAAAGCATACTATCAGTGAGTATTCATAATTCCTCATACAGTGTAAACACATACATTGCACAGTGGTATTAATCACCAGTGTGTCACCAGCTTTCATAAAAGACCTTTCTTGGTGCACTTTTATAATACAGTAATATTGTATACAATAAGTTGATTCAGTTGCTTATTCTTTGGACTCAGACCCTCCAGTCTTCCCCAAGGTGTCTGGACCCTGACTTTAAACATGCAAAGCTGTTTCCCAAAGTGTATGAATTGCACTTGCAGGGATTTTCTAGAGATCAAGTCAATCCATATATACCATATTGCATGACTAGTTCATTATATTGCACAGTACAGTGTAGATGAAGGGTAGGTGGCACTAGGTATCTAGCGGCCTGACCCTGCAAACACTTACATATATATGTGAGTAACTTTATGTATGTAAGTAATCCTTTTGAGATCAGTAAAGTTGCTCACATGCATTTGCAGGATCAGGCTGTGAGAGGGAAGTTCTGGCCTCAGTTCCCCCCTGAACTACTAGCTATATCATTTGAAAAATCAAAATTTATTTTGGTTGGCTTCAGCAGTAGGTCTGAATCATTCGGGACCAAATTTAGAAGGATTGCTCCCTGTTTTTCACAGGAACAACCTACACCTACATTTTGTATAAACAAGTGCAATTCTTTCGTGGATGCCTATCTGCATAGGTGGATCTCTAGCTACCTGACTGGAGGCACAAATTGGGTAGTTATAAACTCAGCTATATGCCTGAGATTTGTTTTTGCAGATAAAAAATGTGGGTGCAAATAATGTCTGCAAAAAAGAAACAGGAACTGTAGAAATGTATTCCGCATTTTTCCCCCATTTGTAAAAATACACTAGCAATCACTAGTCATACGTATGAAAAACCTCAAAACCACATATATAATTCAATGTACTGGCACGTCAACTAATAGTAATAAACTTCCCAACCAGAAATAAACCTCAACATTTCCCATAAACCATACCTTCAGGAAAAGCCTGAGTCCTGTACGTCAAGCAAATTCACAGGCTGTAAGCCAAAGGGAAAGTGAGTCCCAGAGTTGAGGCCTCTTGACTGAGACCACCTGCCCCAACTACTACAAAGTTAGAGACTGCCAGATCAGATGTCCCATCAGACCTCAACTACGATGTTGGATTACAAAGGGAGAGCTGCCTCAGCAATATGCTAGTCAGGCATTAGCCTGTGATCTTTGGAATATATAGCCCTAAACACTGACTTCTGTGTGTGCGAGCACTAGCATTAACAGGCTCTGTGTGGTTCTGCAGCTAAATTCACATAGCTGGCTTCATGAAATAGATGGAGGAGGTAAGGCAGGCTAAGTATAAAATGATTATCGTACACCTGTTAAAGAGACATTTTAGTTTAGTTGCCTCAAGAGAGAAAGCACCATTCTGAAGGAATAAAGGACCATTCATTTTATCACTAAGCATATTGCTTGGCTTTATTGTGGTTCCAAGCTATTTAATGTAACCATCCATATGCTGCTGCTCATAAAATATTTAACAATTAATAAACATAAAAGGTCTTCTCATGCAGCACTTTGGGTGTCCAGCATACAGAGTAAGAGAGGATGAGTCCTGACACATCCCCTCTCAAATTTGAACCATGTCCACTTTTCCTGCTGTTCTGGTAGATAGAATCATAGGACTGGAAGGGACCTTGAGAGGTCATCTAGTCCAGTCCCCTGCACTCAAGGCAGGATGAAGTGGTCCCCTCATCTCAAAAAAGATATACTGGCATTAGAAAAGGTTAAGAAAAGTGCAACTAAAATTATTAGGGGTTTGGAACATGTCCCATATGAGGAGAGATTAAAGAGGCTAGGACTTTTCAGCTTGGAAAAGAGGAGATTGAGGGGGGATATGATAGAGGTATACAAAATCATGAGTGATGTGTAGAAAGTGAATAAGGAAAAGTTATTTACTTGTTCCCATAATATAAGAATTAGGGGCCACCAAATGAAATTAATGGGCAGCAGGTTTAAAACAAATAAAAGGAAGTTCTTCACACAGTGCACTGTCAACCTGTGGGACTCCTTGCCTGGGGAGGTTGTGAAGGCTAGGACTATAACAGAGTTTAAAAGAGAACTGGATAAATTCATGAAGGTTAAGTCCATTAATGGCTATTAGCCAGGATGGGTAAGGAATTTTGTCCCTAGCCTCTGTTTGTCAGAGGGTGGAGATGGATGGCAGGAGAGAGATCATTTGATCATTCCCTGTTAGGTTCACTCCCTCTGGGACACCTGGATTTGGCCACTGTTGGTAGATAGGATACTAGGCTGGATGGACCTTTGGTGTGACCCAGTATAGCCATTCTTATGTAAATATTACCTAGACCATCCTTGACAGGTGTTTGTCTAACCTGCTCTTAAAAATCTCCAATGACAGAGATTCCACAACCTCCCTAGGCAATTTATTCCAGGGCTTAACCACTCTGACAGTTAGGAAGTTTTTCCTAATCATAGAATCATATAATATCAGGGTTGGAAGGGACCTCAGGAGGTCATCTAGTCCAACCCCCTGCTCAAAGCAGGCCCAATCCTCCAATTTGTCTAGGGCCCTCTATATCCTATCCCTACCCTCCAGCATATCTACCTCTCCTCCCAGTTTAGTGACATCTGCAAACTTGCTGAGGGTGCAATCCACGCCATCCTCCAGACCATTAATGAAGGTATTGAACAAAACTGGCCCAAGGACCGACCCTTGGGGCACTCCACTTGATACTGGCTGCCAGCTAGACATGGAGCCATTGATCACTACCCATTGAGCCCGACAATCTAGCCAGCTTTCTATTCACCTTATAGTCCATTCATCCAGCCCATACTTCTTTAACTTGCTGGCAAGAATACTGTGAGAGATCGTGTCAAAAGCTTTGCTAAAGTCAAGGAATAACACGTCCACTGCTTTCCCCTCATCCACAGAGCCAGTTCTCTCATCATAGAAGGCAATTAGATTAGTCAGGCATGACTCGCCCTTGGTGAATCCATGCTGATGTCCAACCTAAACCACCCTTGCTGCAATTTAAGCCCATTGCTTCTTCTCCTAGCCTCAGATGTTAAGGAGAACAATTTTTCTCCCTCCTCCTTGCAAAAACTTTGTATGTACTTTTTGAATTGTAATCCTATCCTCCAAAGCACTTGAAACCCCTCCCAGCTTGGTATCATCCACAAATCTCTATGCCATTATCTACCAGTTGAACAGAACCAGACCCAGGACCAATCCATGTGGGACCCCACTCAATATGCCCTTCCAGCTTGATTGTGAACCACTGATAACTACTCTCTGGGAATGGTTTTCCAACCAGTTATGCACCCACCTTATAGTAGCTCTATCTAGGATGCAAGCACGGGGGATGAGTTAAGGGTCAGCATGTGGAGTAGCTGCAACTCCATTAGGTAATCTTCTAGTCTAGCACACTGGAAGGGATGTGAAAGTGGGTGGTTACTGGGTGATACAAGGAGTGCTCCCATGAATCTCCTTGAAGGATGACGCCTTATATTACTACTTTCAACAATCACTGAAAGGTTCCTTTTACTGAAAATTTTAAAGAAACTAGAACATAGTCATTTACACGGCTAGCATGATGTAATACATTTCAACATGAATTCTTGTGAGAAACAAATCTCAGACAGTGCATTAGGAAAATATAGGAATGGGTTGCAGATGAAGAGACTGAAGAGATTTTACAAAATAAAGTGACTCTTTTAAAGGTTCCTGTCATTTCAGAAGCATAAAAAAGAAGGGTAATTGCTGATCTATTGTTACTGAGCAGGTGTGAACTCTGGAGCTGATGGTGGGGGCTGAAACTAACCTTACAAGAACACGCTGGAAAACTGATCAGCCTTTCAGAAAAAGCAGTCAGCAGCCACAAGAGCCCTTCCTCCTTCTCTTGAATTATTGTATCAAGGATTATTATCTATATTATAGTAGCACCTAGGGGGCCCATTCTGCCAGGCAGCCAGGCACCGAACAGACAGAGTAAGAGACAGTCCCTATCTCTGTCTATGTACACATGACAAATGAAAAGATGGAGGGGAAAGGATGAACTATACAAGCAGAGTGGTCAGAGTTATGACTGGAAAATATTGTGTTGGTTCCACTTTGTTGGATTTCTTTATAGGTAATCTGTTGCTGTTTTTTTTTTCTTTATATGTAACATGGGGAAGGATTCGTTTATAGGATTACAGAAACAGGAAAAGGGGGAAAGAGGGCATTATTGAGGAGGAGAGGAGGGGAAGGGGAGATAAGGAGATGAAAAGTGGGGAGGGGGGGTTAGTAGGTACATGAGGGCCAGGAGAGCGAGGATGCTATGGAGGGACTGAGGGAGCAGGGCTGAGATGAAGAGAGGGGGAAATGCCAGTCAAAACTGGGGAAACCAGATTCTGATGACAATAGTGTTGAAAGCCTAATGATGCCGCTGCTGGGTCTCATCCCTGCCCCACTTCTGCCACTGCCACTCTGCTCCTAACCTTGTTGAGAGTCAAGGGGGTCCCTCTTAGCTCCCTGGGGCTCATTCCCCAGCCTGAAAGGCTGATTAATGCTATTTCCTCCTTCTTCCTTCCCTTTTCCTATTTTGTATATTTCCATTTCCTTAGGCCAAAGTAAAGCAATCAAAATGATCTCTCCCCCTCCCACCACCATCTCATCCCTTCTCAAGTTCAGCTGCAAATAAAAAGAATCCCAGGCCAGTCCTCCCTGTCCATGTCCAGGGTGAACACTAGTTTCCTTCTCTCCCAATGAGAAATACTGCAGGAAAGCGACCAGGCTGGCTTTGCAAAGCTCTATACAGATCGTAAACTTTCCATTAGTCTCCCTGCTCTGTCAGAAGGTAGGAAAGAAAGAAAGAAACAAAGCAAGCAACCGGTAAAACCCACCCACGCCCCTACTCCCGCCTGCTTTGTGCTGCAGCATTGCTCCAGCAGATGGCACTGTGCACAGTTTCATTTCCTCTGCCTTGTTTGTTACAGCTTCTGACTGGAGAGCACAGCAGCCACTCGCCTGAAATTGAGTAGAATTCATTGAATCTGCGGATTTCATGACGTTTCCCTGCGTTGTCCAACACTTTTCTCTCTGCCTGTGCTTTTTTATTCCGCCCGGGTCTTCCCCACCCACCCCCCTCCCCACCCCCTGCTGTCTGATCTCCTCCAGGTCTCATTTAACTCTGTCCTAGCAACACAGAGCGTATTGGACTTGAATACTGCACCTGGCTGTGTATGTGGGGAAGCCAAGCTGGATCAAGAGGTGGGCGAGCAGAGGGGAGGATGGAGGCGCGAGAGAGCAGCTTAGGGTCGAGGTAAAACTGAGCATCATCATCTTATTGTTTAACCCATCATTGAGTGAACCATCAGCCAGCAACATCCTGCTCCATTCCACAAAGAAAATCATGATCGAATGAAAACAACGTGCCCCAAACAGGTAAGACGGTGGAGTTGCTAATGGGAAACCAGCTGTTGTCCATTCCCACAAGAAATCCAATTCTTGCGTTTTTCTTTTGTCCCTGAACTCCCTACTCTGGGAGAAATGTCACCCCCAAGTACAGAAAGACCGGGGAGAAGGCAGTTACATAACAGAAGGGAGATCAATTTCATATGCCTTTCATTAGCAACTGGAAACTCGCAGGGACGGGAAAAAACACTGGATTCAGAAAGATCCAGCAAATTGTGGTTTTAAAGATCGGGTCCTCCTCTCTTTCTAAAGCTGGGGGCGCCAACTGTCAGACGTTGCATGCAATGGTTTTGGGGTTTTTTTTTTGTTTTGTTTTGTTTTTTGTTTGTTTGGTTTTTTTTGTTTTTTTTTTTTGTTTTTGGCAGTTAAGGAAATCAAGTATCCTAGTCATGTGAAGCTCGGGCTTCTGCTTTCCGGAGAGAGACCCCCCCCCCCAGTAGGGGTTTTGGTGAGATACAGCCCGAGGTGTGGTGTGATAATTAAGCAGTAAACGCCATGCAGCGTGGAGATCCCTGGAAGCTGGTGCCATTTCAGCCAGATCGCTGCTCAGGGAAGAGGCGACTTGTGTGTGGCACTGAGTTCCACGTTTGCTCGTACTTTCCTTCGCTAGATGTGCCTGGGATGGCTCGGGGCTACAGGCAGGGAGAGCTGAGCTGAGCTGAGCGTGTCGGGGACGATCGAATCCGTTGTCTCGCGGCAAGGGCCACTGAGCTCCACGTTCCCAGCCCGCTGGCTGGGTGCAAAGGCGCGTCTCTCGCTGCCCGGGCTGTGCCTTGGGGTAGCGGCACCCCGCCGCAGCAACCCACGGAAGCGCGGGGCCGGGGCGATGGCGGCCTGGGGAGAAAGTCCGAGTGGCATTGTGACGTAGGCAGGGGTACTGTTGCCTTCCGGAGTCTGCTGGCCGGGCGGTGGGCGCGGAGCCGCAGGGGGAGCTGGCTGCAGACGAGGAACAGCTGCGAGCCGGGCTCTGCTAACGCAGCGATGCCCGTTTCGTCTTGATCCGGGGGAGAGGGAGCTCGGTATCACCATGGCGACCTGGAGGGAGCGGGGAAATCGGCTCCAGTCTCGCAGAAATTGCGGGACAAAACTTTCCTGGGATCAGGGGGGAAATACTGCAGATGCCTGTCATGCCTGCCACAGCTGGCTCGCAACTACACCGCTCACTCGCTGGGACTGTCGGCAAAGCTCCGAGCTTGCATGCCATTTGCTGCCGCTGAAAACACAGCCACAAGATCAGCGGCCCGGGATTAGAGACCCTGGTACCAGGAAACACGTTTCAGAGGTGGGGAGCGGGGACACGACGCTTGAGTGAAGACTAGCTCCATATGTCTGCCCTAGAGAGGTCCGCTGTGGCGATCCCTCGATCGCTCTGTTAACAAACAGATTTCCATGTTTAGGGAAAACTGGGAGACACCTGTTGTTATTCGTAGCATTACCTGGGATTGCACAGCCTGGAAATCATCCATTTCACTCCTAGAGGTGCATCAGAGTAGCTCTTGGGAGTCGAGAGCACAGCTGAACTGAAACTGTTCCAGTAGCTAGAAAAGGTCACGGGTCCGGCAGTTAAGAGAGACTTTCCTGGTTTAAATGGTGTCTATGCTTGCAAATCAGTCAGTCAGTCACTTCATGCGCGTTGGTTTCTCTCTCCAACTTTTCAGGACCCAGAACAGCAGCCGAGAAAAGCTGTTTCAGCACCTAGGTCAGGGCTATAAATACAGGCCTCTGTGCTGGGTCTAGTAAGCGAGATAAGTGGAAGAGAGACAGTTTTAATGCTAATCACTGTCTCAGTGACTGCTCGGAAATAAATGTGGAACTCAGCTAATCAGAGAGAGCGAGCGAGCGAGCGAGAGAGAGAGAGAGAGAGGTCAGTCGGTGCACTGGCTCCTGAAAAGAGGCTGAAATAAAATTACATTGAGCACGACAAAACTTTCTTTCTTACCCCTAAAGATGGGAAGAAGGCAATTGGACTCTGACCCCGCTCAGTGCAAAGACTATCACTGACTTCAGTGCCTTTGGATCAGGCCCGTGGATTGTTAGAAACAGACGAACACAAAAGTAAATGATTCCCTAAACTCCACCTGTGATTGTTTTCAAGCTAAAATAGCAAAGTGCAGATAAACTGCCTATTAACATTTTGCTGGTCTCTGATCATTGTAGTTTTGCAAAGACAATACTAAAGCGATGTTTTTTAGAAGTTGCACAAGTCCTTTGTCGAGTGCTAAAAAACACCTAAAGAAGCCTGAAGGTTCCAGATGAGCGAATACTGTAAAAATCCTGCAAATACTCATTCAAACGTCTTAAATGAATTTGCCTCCGCTGAGGTCCAATGACCCTTTTGCAGTCGCCTCCTAGGAATGTTCTGGCAGTGCTAGTAAGTTTACTGGAAGGAACAGTCACAGAAACAGCATATTTTAAGTGAACATTGAGGGAGAATTCGCAGAAAAGTGAATTTTAAATTTACTTCCATAAACATTCATTTTGGGAAATTATTTCTCAGAGCTACAACAACCAATAAGGGAGCCGAAGCATACCATGTGATCTACATGACCAATGACACAGCTTGAATTTTGAATATCAAATAGTTACAATGAAGTGCTTGCAAATCAGCTCCTGATCAATAATTATTATCAGTAGCTGGCAAATAATTTCAAGTAATAAATAAAAGTCAATTATTCATTATGCTTATTGACAGTTCACCAACAGCAACCCGGGTATATTCTTCAAATATACTAGTCAGTTGTATATTATTTGCACAGTTCTAGACATGTTAATAAAAAGCTTACGGAACTACTAGTACATATAGATAATTATTACTTAGCATTAAGAAATATACTCTAGAAAAAAATACAGCAATATGAATACTCTTCATTCAGGGACAATATACTTGGATTAATCACCTTTGTGCTGTTCACTGTGTCCATATGTTCTTTTTTCCACTAGGCAAACAAGATTTGTTTAATCTTTCCATAGTCCTGTGAGGCAATAAACTGTAGATATTATAGTTTTATATGTAGAATTACAGATTCAGCATCCAGATACCTCCACTCTTGAGGGTATACTTTATCTATAAAATTAAGCAGTTCATTCACAAAGCTCACTTTGCAATAAATTACCTGTTTCAAACTGATTATAATCTTGCCCTGTTCTTGCAAAGACAACTGAAGGGATGGGCATACATATGGGTATATGTCCCTATGGAACCCTACTGAAGTCAGTGGGACTCTGTGCCAAGGGTGCACCAATGCGGTTGTTTATGAAGGATCACAGCCTGTAAGTCTAGATATAATCTCTTCAACTGTCTGATTTAAAGTTGCCAAAACACCAGTTCTTGACAGGTGGAGCAAGCAAGTGACCTAAATCTGGAAGGGACTGAGTATTTGCAACTCCAATACATGATAGAGAGCATGTAAATTAAAGAAAGATAAAACAGCTGCAAATATTCTTGGAAGGATTAGATTTTTTATCAGTAAATGTTAAGAACATAAGAATGGCCATACTGGGTCAGATCAATGGTCCCTCTAGCCCATTATCCTGTCTCCCGACAGCAGCGAATGCCAGGTGCTTCAGAAGGAATGAACAGAACAGGTAGTCATCAAGTGATCAGTCTCCTGTTGCCCATTCCCAGCTTCTGGCAAACAGAGGCTAGGAATGCTTCAGAGCTTGGTTTTGCATCCCTGCCTATCCTGGCTGATGGACTTATCCTCCATGAACTTATCTAGTTCTTTTCTGAACCCTGTTATAGTCTTGGCCTTCACAACATCCTCTGCCAAAGAGTGCCACAGGCTGACTGTGTGTTGTGTAAGAAATGCTTCCTTTGGTTTGTTTTAAACCTGCTGCCTATTACTTTCATTTGGTGGCTGTTATGAGAAGGAGTAAATAACACTTCCTTATTTACTTTCTCCACACCAGTCATGATTTTATAGCTCTCTAGCATATCCCCCCTTAGTTGTCTCTTTTCCAAGCAGAAGAGTCTCAGTTTTATTAATCTTGCCTCATACAGAAGCTGTTCCATACCCCTGATCATTTTTGTTGCCCTTTTCTTTTCCAATTCCAATATATCTTTTTTGAGATGGGGTGACCAGATCTGCATGCCGTATTCAAGATGTGGGCATACCATGGATTTATACAGAGGCAGTATGATATTTTCTGTCTTATTATCTATCCCTTTCCTAATAATTCCCAACATTCTGTTAGTTTTTTGACTGCCGCTGCACACTGAGAGGATGTTTTCAGAGACCTATCCACAATGACTCCAAAATCTCTTTCTAGACCCCATCCTTTTAATATGTATAGTTGGGATTATGTTTTCCAATGTGATTTTACTTTGCATTTATCAACATTGAATTTCATCTGCCATTTTGTTGCCCAGTCACCCAGTTCTGTGAGATCCCTTTGTAACTCTTCACAGTCTGCTTTGGACTTAACTATCTTGAGTAGTTCTGTATCATCTGCAAATTTTGCAACCTCACCGTTTACAGTTTTCCATATAATTTATGAATACATTGAATAGGACTGGTCCCACTACAGACCCCTGGGGGACACCACTATTTACCTCTCTCCATTATGAAAACTGACCATTTTTTCCTGTTGTTAAACATCGATTTCACTGTATACACAAACCCAATATATCAATAAGTAATAATAAAAATTTACAGATAGGCAAAATAAGAAAAATACTGCTTGAGAACTTATTAGAGTTTGATTTAAGGATATTTACTTTGTATATTTTGATTTGATGTTGACAATTTGTGTTTTAACAGTTACAAAGCTTTGTATTTTTTTGAAACTCCATGTCTACTGTCATTAAATAATTATTGTCTGTACCCCTTTCCCCACTGTCTGACCTCCCATAATTTCCTGCAATTATGAAAAATTTAAAATGAATTAAAAATTAAAAATGCATAACTTATACTTTTGTGCAACTGTGAAAATTTAAATTGAAAGCAATCAAAAATGCTTTAAAATAAACA